ATCATCAGGCTTCTGTATTGTGTTCATCTGTGAGTCAGGCTTTTACAGTAGTTTCAGATTTAAATTTGGGGCAGCCTATTGCTGTGCCAGAATGGTATTTTTCTTCACCCTGATTGGTTAGGAGTCTTGGTCTGTGTTTATTGGTCTTGGAGTTTGCTGTGTTCTGCTTGATTGGTGTTTCTAATATCTTTTGTCTGTTTTTTGGCTCTTTTTGTATCTTGATTAGCTGGCAACATTGTGTTTCTTGTATTGGAGGCCTTTAGTGCAGCTTGGCTCCGGGTAAATGGACGGCTATCATTAGTTCAAACACACCCCAACCAGGCACCCAGATGAGACCTAGCTTCCTAACTAATGATAGCCGTCCATTTACCCAGAGCCAAGCTGCACTAAAGGCCTCCAATAAAGTAACACAATGTTGCCAGCCAATCAAGATACAAAAAGAGCCAAAAAACAGACAGGAGATATTAGAAACACCAATCAAGCAGAACACAGCAAACTCCAAGACCAATAAATACAGACCAAGACTCCCAACCAATCAGGATGAAGAAAAAACCATTCTGGCACAGCAATAGGCTGCCCCAAATTTAAATCTGAAACCACTGTAAAAGCCTGACTCACAGACGAACACAATACACAAGTCTGATGATGGCAGATGAGATTCTGCCGAAACGTTGCTACAACTTTAAAAGCACAACTATAATGATGTGGGAAAATACCCGAACAAAGCTGAATGCCATACATGTAAGCACCCGCGAAAACTTAAGAAAACATACATACATACAAACATACATACATACATACGAAATCGAAACAAGTTACATAAGCTGAAATATACGACACACTAAAAATAATTGAGATGCAGTATCTTGGCTTTAAGCCTCATAGTCTCATAACTAAAACCAAACTTTCATATAACTTGTTAAAAAAAAACCCAGCTTCATTTCACATAACCAGAGCTGAAATTAATCAGCTAAGGTGGTGATGGCACCTAACCCCAGGGGTGGGATTCTACTGCTTCGGACCGGTCCTATAAAACTGGTTGTTACGATTCTGCACAGTTTGGAGAACCAGCAAATCGTGCCCCTGGCTGACCAGGCCCCTCTCTGCCCCCCGCCTTCCCTCCCCACCCAATCAGTCCTTATTGCGCATCGCGGACTGCATTCTCCCCCACCCAGTCCCTCCTTAAGGTATTTCTTTCTTTTTTTCCTCCCGACAATCAGCTCTTCTAACTCCTCCAGCTGTTCTGGGATCCCCCTTGCTGTCTTACTGCTTCACCCAGAAGGCTTCCCTGAGGCCCAGGAGGCTAAAAGGGGCGCGTGGGAGGGGTGCTGTGCCCCCCCCCCCCCGGCGCTCCATTTTTGGTGTCCTGGGTCTCAGGGAAGTTTCTTGGGAGCAAAAATGCTCCGCCAGGAGGCTTCCCTGAAGCTCAGAAGGACAAAAAACAGCACGGGGGTTTGCAAAAAAAAAAAAAGCCACGTACACCCAGTCACATGGCCATGCCCACCTAGCCACTCCCATCTAGCCATGCCTGGGGAAGAAATAGGCATTTCTTTTTTAAATAAAGGGCTTTTTTTGTTTTTATTTTTTACACATCTCTTCATGTGAGCCACGCGGTTCCAGATTACAACTTTTATACCTAGTCGTAATTACCTTTCCATCTGTCTTATTTAACTTCACCTCAAATCATGATCCATTCCACTAGTCTTGAGATAAATTTCCATTTCATATTTCAATTCATTGGTTCGATATCAATATCATTTCATCCACACATATATTTTCAATTCTTTATCCCCTATTATTTCCATTTTCAGCCTACCACCTGTACAACATTATCATCCTTAACTTTCTCTAGAACGATATATAATAAACAATGGAAAGAGAGTAAAAGTAAAACGAAACTAATATATTTAAGATCCACGTGGTGTATACCCCCCCTCTACATATAATTATATAGTAATCATGTTTTTTCTTTATTTCCACTTAGCCAAAGTTTGCCTATGTAGTTTAATAAACTTTCATTCCCCTACTTTTAATCATAAAAAATACTCTCTTTATAGATACTTTATATTCCCATATAATCCTTAGGGGAGGCAAAAATTTTTTGAACCCAAATGCAAAAATGAACACCAGGATGAGATTTGGGGGTGGAATTCCATACTTAAAATAGGTGCTGCTTACTTTTAAAAAATTTGTTAGCCTTTTTGCTGCCCGTGTGATGCTGCCGTCAGGAAAACTGGTGTTTGAGGACGCAAGTATTTTTTGAACCCAAATATAAAAACGGACACCAGGACGAGATTCAGGATGGAATTCCAGGCTTAAAAAATGGTGTTGCTTGCTGTTTTTAAAAATCGAGCCTTTTTTGGTGCCCGGGGAGGAAAATGCCTGATTCCTCGGTCAGGAAAACAGTACCCAGGGAGGCAAATATTTTTTGAACCCAAATGCAAAATCGGACAAGCGAGACAGTTGTTGTGAGTTTTGACCCAGTTTATGACTTTCCTTGCTGCCGTTGTTAAGTGAATCACTGCTGTTGTTAAGTTAGTAACACAGTTGTTAAGTGGATCTGGCTTCCCCATTGGCTTTGCTTGTCAGGAGGTCTCAAAAGGGGATCACACACACACACACTCCGTTCAGGATACTGCAACCATCATAGCAATAGCATTTATACTTATATACCGCTTCACAGTGCTTTTTACAGCAATTTACAAAACCAGCCTCTTGCCCCCAACAATCTGGGTCCTTATTTGACCTCAGAAGTGTGGAAGTCTGAGTCAACCCTGAGCCTGGTGAGAGTCGATCTGTCAAATTGCAGGCAGCTGGCAGTCAGCAGAAGGAGCCTGCAGTACGGCACTCTCACCACTGCGCCACCGAGGCTCTTAATATGTACCAGTTGCCCAGTATCTGAATTTTGATCACATGACCATGAGGATACTGCAGTGGTTGTAAGTGTGAATAGTGGTCATACGTCACTTTTTTGGTGCCGTTGTAACTTCGTCACTAAACGAGTGGTTACAGGTTGAGGACTACCTGTGCTGTGTGGTGATGCAATTCTCCTTTGTACAAAAGTTCTTAAACAAATTGTCTTTCACAATGAATTTCGAACTTATAGAAGAAAGTGCAGATTTTTGGGGGGGAGGAACCAAATCTGCCTTTATCTAAAAATGATGGAGTGTTCAGGAATTGGGGTTGGTAAAAACCAATTAGCATGAACTCAAAGTTTTTCCAAATGGAGTGCAAACTTATTAAATATTGACTTTGCCATTTAGTTTCATCTATTAAATTGCCTTACATTATATTATATGTTTGCTTAGGTCTGATTAATGCCATAATCTCATATAAAGTCAAGGCAAATTGAGCTGTTGGAAGTTGACAACATTTTAACTCTCTCAAATGACAGTGAAATAGATTGCCATTATGAGTTCTCATTTCTCAGCCTTTTGACTAAAATCCAGTGTAGTGTGTGGAATTTGGGGGATCCTTCCTACTGGAATTTGACCTTTATATATGCCAGGTTTCATGCTTCTATCCTAAAGGATATTTTTTTTTCTTCTGTAATTTGGTCACTGCAATCATACACAAAAATGTTTTCTCATGATTTCCTCTGCGGGTTGACCAAAATAGACAAACTTTCATAATGCTTTAACTGTCAACTCATAAAATATTTCTATGGTCTTTTTAGAGTTGCCAACAGAAAAGGAGGGAGGAGCAGTGCACCAGCTTGCAAAACCAAAACTGCATTCCATAAATGTTTTCAAAGATAGTAACTAGGTGACTGAAGTTTCTCCCACGCAAAATTCTAACTGGAGAACATGACTGATGACTCTTGGCTATGGATGTGTCCCATTGGAGAATATGAATTACGATACACCCAGGGGGTGGGGGAAAACCAGGGTCAAGGGTGACAATGAATGAAGTGTCTCAGAGTTGGCTGCACCCAGGCAATGCCGGACCTTTTAACTCCCCATAAATCCTTTGAAGTTTTGGAAGTTTGGCTCAAGACTCATGGTTTAAGTGCGGGTAGCTGCCGGAATCCTGACATTAACAGTTCCTGCTTTAGCAACCTGGGCTCTTGCGAAAGGAAGTCGTAGCCACAGTGTGATTCTTTCTGTTCCACTACCACTTCGGAGATTGTACGTGCGCGCAGCTTTCCCCACACCAACTGAGGCCTGCAGCGCCAATCAGCTAAAGCACAGGGGCCAGTCCTGCTCTTTTCTTTCTCCTCTCAGCTGATTGCCGGAGGGTTTCTTTTTTTTGCTACTGGTTCATTGGAACCGAGCCGAACCGGTGTCATACCACCACTGAGTAGTGGTCTATTGGGGTTAATTTCCTACTGAACTGTTGCTATATTGATGCCTTAAATCATGGGTGTCAAACTCGCTGCATCACATTGATGTCACTGTCAGCTTTGGAAGCCATATTAGCGCCAGACGCTTCCACACTGTCACGTTCTTGAGCCTGAGAAAAGGGGAGGGGAGAATTTCTTGGAGTTTATGTGGTTAGACATAATAGCATTCTTCTTCTAGGTCAAGGTCATGTTATTTCTGCACCTGGGTGAGGGGACGTCTCAAGTTGGGATGGATGGTGATTGGAGCATGTGATGCAATGATGGGTGCAGGGGAAGGATTTGTAATTTTTTACTTATTGCAAGGAAGCCCGGAACTTTCAGATTTGGGATTCCCCAGATGCGCCAGTTTACTATCCAAATAAAACAGAACTTTTGAGAAGATGTCTGCCTTGGAGTTATTTGTTGGAGTGGAGGTTTTCTAGAACGCTGACAGTCACGTGATGTAATGCAATGGGTTTTTTTTTTGCTTTCACAGATCTGGGGTAGGTGTAACCTGCATGTGACAGATCCAGCCAACAGGCTGCCAGTTTTGACACTCGTGCCTTAAATTCAAATCCACACAGCATTCTATAACGTGAAGTTTTGAAATACACGGAATCACAAAATGTAACCTCTTTTTTTCTCCTTCTCTCTTCCTTCCCCTTGTGATCTCTTTCAGATTTGAAGAACTGGTGAAAAAATTCAAGGTAGAATATCATGCTGGTGGGTCTACGCAGAATTCCGTTAAAGTGGCACAGGTTTGTCCCCCTTCACAATGAATTACATCCAGGTTAAGACTTAATGTCATGCTCCTGTCGAAATCTGATTCCAAGGGGGAGGCCAAGCAGCTGACAGGGAGTTGGAATGTGGCTCCGTTGGCTGTGGAGGAAACTGGGGAAGGGCAAAGTCTGACTGGGCAGAGCAGGAGAGAGGTAGAACAAGGGAGAGGGAATTCAGAGGAAGACCCAGGTCCATCCCCTCTTCATTTTAGGGCATGCAGGGAGGAACGGAGAAGGGAACAACGTGAGTTACGTGGCTTATGGGGGAGGAAAGGGCCCTGATTCCCTTCATTAGCTGCAGCTGGGAACGCAGTGTTTAAAAAGGGAAGCTGCATGCAGCAAGCTGTTGGGAGCAAATCATAAATTTATCTGGTATTGTGGAGGCTTATCTGTGCTCCTGGCATCTTCCCAATTGTATGTGTTTTGCTGTGCTTTCAAGTCTGCAATTCCTTCTCCTGCCCTGTCAAGTTAATTATTGCAGCATGGTTTGTTTGGATTTTTAGTTACTGTTTGAATGTACTTCGTTTTCGGACTGAATTTTCTCCACTTAAAGACTCTTCTTGGGAGAGTTTTTCTCCAGCCAAAGGTAACCTGGACATTGGGGGCAAAGTTGGAGATAATAAAGGGACTCTTCTTGCTTATTTGACTATGTTTCCTTTATGCCACGCCCCAGGTCATCACACTTAAAAGATGTTTTCATCCTAAAATGTGTTTATTTATGTAGCATAAACACAACATTCTACAGTTGTACTTTATTGTTGCCAACAGTAGGAAGAGATGGTTATGTGTACAATGATCATCTAAAGTTGCAGCCACTGTTCTCTTTCTGGGTTAGATGTATAAAATGTCCTACTTTAATTGAATAAGATATTTAAATATTACAGGGTGTCTTGAAGTTGGGGACTTCATTGCCCTTCAAACATGTCCTTGAATAAAGCCAACGATGGCTGGAGACTAAGCATTCTTATCTGAGACTTCAAATTTGTCAAGAAGTAAATTACCTGGAAGGTTTTCTACCTAATAATTGGATTAAAGGCCTGTTAAAAGCTTGACAATTGGGAACAGATTTAAAACTTTACACAATTGGAGGAAGGAAGAATCTTGGGAAATCTTTGTCCCAGGATTTGCGGAGGCACCTATTTGACAGTTTCTCCCTTCCAGTGTGGAAATTAAGTGACTTTGGGGCAGAGGTGGGTATTCAGCAGGTTCCGGCCGATGCTGGAGAACCAGTAGCGGAAATTTTGAGTAGTTCAGAGAACTGGCAAATCCCACCTTTGTCTGGCCCCGCCAACCCCATCTATTCTCTACCTCCCAAGTCCCAGCTGATTGGCTAGGTCTCTTTGGTTGCCCTGCACGGGAGAACAGAGCTGGAGAGCAGGTTAATGGGGTAGGAAGGGAATGGGGATTTCACAGTATCCTTCCCCTGCCATGCCCACTAAGTCATACCCACAGAACCGGTAGTAAAAAAAAAATTGAATTCCACCACTGGTTTGGGGGCTGGTTTGAGGAGGCGGAGGCCTGGAGAAGCAACCACCAAGAAGGAACCGGGGACTGAAAACATTTGAGCAACACTGCAGAATAATCGTAAACTAGTAATCTGAAAGCCATATATGACAGGGGTCCCCAACCAACAGTCCCCGGACCGGTACCGGTCCGTGGATCATTTACTGGGCCGCAAAGCTTGGGCGCCGCCATCTTGTTTCGACGGCACTTCCAGGTTTTTAGTTGCTTTTGGGTTTTCGGTTGGAAAGCGGCGTTTGGGTGCTCGCGCCTTAGTTTCGTCAAAGGGGAGGGGCGGCTTCGAACGAAGAGCCATCACAATGGCGGTGGAGTCTCGCGTTACTCAGGTACCGGTCCGTGGAAGAATAAATAATCGTGAAACTGGTCCCTGGTTCAAAAAAGGTTGGGGGCCATTGATATATGACATTGATCTTAAACTTGTAGAATTGAGTGGTGGGAGACTTTAGAGTGACAAAAGGTAAGAACTGTGCCCTTATTAGTCCTCAATTTACAACTTAATATTCAACTTGTTTTAGTGACTGTTTGAAGTTGCAGCGGAACTCAAAAAAGTGACTTACAACTACCCGTCATACTTATGACCGTCATAGTATCCTCACAGCTGCAATGTCATCAAAATTTGTGGGCTTGGAAACCAGCGTGCATCCACGTGTCCTTGAGAGAGACTCTTAACAAACACATGATTGACTTACCTGCTTAACAACCAGGGCCAAAAATGTTGTTAAATTGGACTTGGCTCACTTAAGAACTGCCTTGTTGAGCAACTGAAATTCTGGTTGTAGTCGTACCTCAAGGACTACCTGTATATATGAAAAAGTTTGTCTTCTTTTAATTTCTTCCCCCTTCCCATTTTATTAAGTGAGGAGAAAATGAGTTAGAACTTTGCATTATATAAATTTAATTGCATTGGAAAGTCTCTATTTAAAGTAAAATAGTTCTGATCATTTTCATGGGAGCCAATGATCTATAGCTACGATGGCAAACCTATGGCAATCGTGCTGGAAGTGGTACGCAGAACCATTTCTGCTGGCACGTGAGAGGTCGCCTGGAAGAGCCCCACGGCACATGCATGCACATGCATGTGCGCCCCCATCAGCCAGCTGATTGTTGGGAGACACATGCGCATGCACAGAGGCGTGCGGTGGGGAGGGTTGCGTGCATGCACAGAGATGCATGCCTTGGACACAGGGTCATGCGCTCGTGCATAGAGGTGTGCAGTGCATGCACAGGGGGTTGTGCACACATGTGCGGGGGCAGGGAGGTCGTGCGTGCATTGCATCCTGGGTGCAGGCACACAAGCGAGTGCATGCACACACTTTCAGCACTAACCCTCACTGATCTATAGGTTGGGGCACAAAAACTAATGTGGCTATGGAATAATAGAAAATACTTGTAGGTGCGGTTCTAGATTTTGGAGAGGTTTGCTCTCCAAGCTTGTTTCAATTTAGTTTCTGAACGTTTTATTCCAACACTAGGTAACATCATCAGCAGGGGTTTCTTGTCCTATTCCTCTTTAGCTTGTAACTGTGTGCCCATGTGGTCAATTGGTGGTGTGATTGGTTGTTCGTTTATTGGAGATACATTTCAATTCTGAGCAGCCGATTATATTAAAGTAACCAAAATAACTTTTACAATCCCTGAGGCATGCCACAACTTTTGAGCACCTCTAATGTTTGGAAATTAAAAGTTGAAAAATTTGACACACCCTCGACCAGGCGTGAAGCTGTCAAACTCCCGGGCTCTGGACAGAATGCGTCACGCACTGGCCACGCCCACGCCTGGTTTAGAAAAGGGGGGAAAAGTCCCGATATGTTGTGTGACACTGATGTGATGACGTGAGTTTGACAACCCTGCCCTAGACAATAATCTTCCCTTTTTTTTGATGTTCAAAATACAGTAGAGCCCTTGGGTTGCAATCGTAATCCATTCCAGGATTTCAGCCGCAACCCGATTTGGTTGTGACCGGAAGCACGACCATCTGCACATACGCAAACAAACAAAAAACACACCAAAAAATGGCGCCAAAGGGGAAATCGGCACAGAAAGGGAATCTTTCCACGCCGATTTTGTTCACCGCCCATTTTTTGAATCGATTTGGTTGCGAACAGGAGCATTTGCGACCCGAGGTTCTGATGTATTTTGAGCTACAAGTTCAGAAGTTCAAAATGCATTCTGTAATTAAGTGACTAGCTGGAAACCTATACCAAATGAACAAAGGTGGAACCCTTTAGAAATAAGGGCTGTTCATGTGAGTTGGTCATGTGATCTTTCCCAGCTGAAGAGACAACAAACCAAGGATTGCCGGGCGCAAGCACGTGCCCCTTGCACGTGGCGGCCATAGTTTCCTCTTGCATCAGGCCCTTGCTGCTGCTTCTTACGTCTCCTTTCGCAGAAGAGCTTGCTGTGTCACACCCCAGTGCACCATTGTGCGTGTGTGTGTGTGTGTGTGTGTGTGAGCACGTGAGGCCCATCATTAATTTGCACATTTGGCAATTATAATTAGGCATCCAAAAATGGATCATTGGCTTTTATCCGGCACACTTAAAAGAAAAGGGACAGATGGTACAAATGGCAGCAAGGCATCAGCATACGAAACAAAAGTTAGTAAGCTAACAGTACCAGGGGGAGGGGGGAGAGGGCGGGGGGGGGAGATGCAAGGAACACTTCAGAACTGGGATTTATTTTCACTGGACAAGCAGCAGACAAAATAGAAAAGCTTAAAGCTAGCCAAATTTTACCATCCCTTTGACGGTAAACCTGAGGTACGCAAGCTTAAATAACGTAAAACCTGCAAGAAGACAATGAAACGGACATTGTTTAATGCTAAGGCAGTGGAGCCCTATAAAGGAAATACATCAAAGACGCAAAAACTGGCCAATATTTTGCTGAGCTGCACCGTCTTGTCTTTTCAGGTTGCACAATGAGTTGAATTTGTTGGTTTTTTGCTTGATTCAGAGTTTGAACATGGATTTTTTTGGGAGGGGGTGGTGGCAGCCTCCTGAATCAATTCATAGATACATTTAATAATTGGGGTGGTCTCCCAATCTCTTATTTTCGGAAATGAACAAAAACCCTTGATCGAGAAATTAAAGGCAAGGACCAAATAACCTGAATAGTCTAATTATGACTTAATTAGAAATTCATCAGACATTCTTGGTAAACATCCAACCTGAGAGGACCTTCAGAGTTGGAAGAAAAAAAAAACTTAAGGCAATCATCTCCCTGTGTCTGACATAACATTCAATTGGGTAAGGAACCCCTGATTCCTTATTCTTATTTTTCTAAGAATTAAGATGAGAGAATTAGGCAGATTTATGCTATTTTCATATTAGTAGCTAAGAAGAAAGGGTTTTTTTTTCCCCCTTGATAACTGACTGTTCTTTAGTCAGAAACAGCTTTGTAACTTATGGGGTGTTTTAAGTCCCATAGAGCAAAGGTCGCCAACCTTTTGGACCTCAGGG